GGAAGTTAATTGTCTTGCCTCTGTGTTAGGTTCCTTGTTCAGTACTTGGGACCCTGCCTGATTTCTTGCATTCAATCTCAGACATTATGAGAAGTGAGGCCATGGTCAGGATGTCCTTAATATCTTCTCAGATTAAACAGGTAAATTGCATTTGGGAAAGATCCCGCAGATTATGGCATAATTGAAGGGTTTCTGAAAAAAAAAATGTTGTGTTAGAGGTGGGAGTGAGTGCATACCTCTCAAATCCCCTCGCTATGAGGATAGCCTTCTGATTAGACCCAAATTTAACTCCATTCCACTCAAGCTTGGTAATATTTTGCTGTAAATTATTTATATCAGAGAGGCAGAAGCCAAATATATTTCAACTAAAGAGAAGAATCCATCCTTATTTTGAATGCCCTGTGTGAATAATTGTCTCTTTCACATTTGGATCTTGTCAAGTTAAGAGTCATCATATGGGGGAGAGCTATATTTTTAAGGTGTGTGTGTGTGTGTGTAATGTTTTTGCTTTCCCTTTTCTCTTTCGCTCCCCCCCAGGCCCTTCTCCAAGCATTTAAAATCGAACGATAAAAAGAAGATACTTTTATTTATAGAATGCTACATAAATAATAAACTGCAGTGACTTCTTGTCTTATCTTGAGAAGCATAATTTACTTGATAAGATCTTATTTTGAATCTTTTGTTAGTATGTTAAGTCACACTAGACGTAACTCATTGCAGTCACTCTATAAGGGCTAAATCCTGACCTGGTTTAATGAGAGTAGGAGGCACACAGGCCCATTACTCTCACATGGGAGAGCTACATTCTAATAGGCCAATTCTCGGGGTGTTGAATAGATCTGGAGCATCTCTGGGATCATGACCTGCTGAGCAGCTGAAGAGAGTGAGCTCTTTCTTACCCTGACTGGGTCTCTATTCTTATTGAGGTTACCATTGCAGGAGCTCCCATGGAACTGCCATAGGCATGGTAAAAGAGGAATGAAAAGAAGGTGTTCCTTGTGGATGAAGGGGTCTGGATGTTCTCCAAGGAGGGCAATGCCATTCCACCCCAAACCCATGTGGCTCCCTCTAAGGACCTCAGTGACACATTGTCAGTCAGCTGCAGAGATCTGCCCCCTCTTTGGGGTCTGTGGGACTCTGTGTATGTGCATGTCCATGGAATTCTGCAATGCAGCCATCATTTTTAATATAAGGGTGAAGTCCTTGGAATACATGCCCAGCTCTGTCTTCATTTGATCTAAGTGCTTGGATGAAGATGGAGATTGGAGAATTGCATGCTGAAATAGCAGTCTCCATGAACTGCGCTGACACATTAAAAATAAACGGAGGCAAGGTGTTCCTTTTCATGCATAGAAAATGTGGCCTTCAGGGTCATGGTAGGATGATAATGCAGTCCTCTTTTCAGTGTGTGTTTTGTTTTGTTTTTGGGGGTGGTGGGGAGGATGGATTGTAAAGCTACCTATTCTGAGAATAAGCAAAAAGAGAACAAGCAGCAGCAGAAGAGTTGCATACCACAGACTAACACAAATTTGGTTTGCTTATGACAGATTTATCATTGAGTGGTTCTGAGAAAATCCATTCTACATACATGGGACACAGACAAAAGCTGTTCATATCAGTTTTTAGTGTCAAAGTCTGTTTGACATTTGCTACAAAGAGATAATAAATTAAACATTATTCAAAATTAGAATTAAAAAAATATTAACTATGCCATTTTGAAACGTGAATATGTAGATGGGATTGTTGACAATGGGTTCTATTACACAACTGCATCTTAAATTTCCCATCTAAAACTTTTTGCAAAAGCCAACTGAAAATTGGGTGAGACATTATAAATCATGTACTGCAACATTAGGAAACTGAACATATCAGATGCTCATCTGGTATACTGCACTCAACAGCATAGTACTTCAGAGCTCGTATCAGGAGAGAAATATATACCGTACTTTTGCGTTTGGAGCATACTACGTGTTATAAAATATTTTTGAATGTCTTAATTTGGGGGAAAAGGTTCACTTCTTGACAATTTCTGTTCCTTCCAAAGAGGAAACAGGAAAAGCTGTCTCAGATTCTGGTCCTCCCGGCACTCACTAACATTTCCTGTCCACCTCTGTCATTGACCCAAGCAAACCTGTATTAAAGAGGTAAAACATACACATGCCATCTAATGGTATGGATTTGTAAGAGATGGGATTGGGTGGACTAATGTTTTCCTGCTCTAGCTTCTGTGATCTTATGTATTTTGTACATGTTGCAAAGATCTTATGTAACAATTTCTGCTGAAATCTCACAGTGGGGACAATACATAAAATGCCACCAGCTTTTGTGGTATTGTGGGGTGACAATAAATGAATGGAGACTTGAGCTTCTACAAAGTTTTCTGTAAGTCACTGAACCCCTCTGAACTTCAGCTTCCCAAACTAGAAAAGGTGTGTAATGATCCCTACTGGACAAGATTTACATAGGCTTAATTCATATTTACAATTATTGTTCTTGGTTGAAAGGTTCTACAGAAGGGCAAAATATTTTCTTTTTATTATTTATTATACTCCCTCTTCAATGCTGTAGATTCTTGAAGTCAGTTTTAAATGTAATTTTTGAAGCACAATATCATGTACCCTCTTTGGAAACTGAAAATTATATTTTTACTTTCTCCTGTATTCTCCAATCTACCAAAACCAGACCCTTAGCAGAAGTCAGCAAACTGACATCAGTTCATTTGCCTTTAGGGAAAGTAAATTATTGCTCAGCTCAAGTTTAAAAAAAAGAAAGAAAGAGAAAGGAAGGGGTGAGGGGAAAGGGAAAAAATCTATCACTAACTCTCCCTGGAGTCTGAAGAATGTTCAATCATAGGCTTAAGACGTCCAAACAGTGCAATTGAGGAGAGGGTGGTAGAGTCTGATTCTACGTTGGTGTGACTTGAACATTGTGAACGTTCTTATGGAGGCTTTGGAAAGTTTAGGATTGACCTGTTTTTATTGGCTCCCTTGATGATAGACAAAGAGGGATGACCTGAGGCCAACATTGCCAGCAGGAAATTTGGGTCATGTGCAGTTGCATTTTTAAAACTTGTGTTTTAGGAGCTGTTCAATCAGCGTAATTGATTGATTGTAACGAGGCATAGAGAGAGCTCCTTAATCATTAGAGGTGGTTAGATAATGACAAACTGCTAAGGGTTTTGTTTGAGACAAATTTCCCATCTCCCTGTGTTATTCTGGTTGGAAAAGAGGTGGTTTGACCCTTATTTCATGGAGGTTACAGTCCAAATGGCCTGTTTACACAAAATAGCCTTGTAAATTTGGCATTTAAATTTGAAATACACTGTAACACCATTTCCCAAGAGATGAGAAAAAACATTTCAAAATAGATCATAATCCAAAAATCCAAATGCATGTTTTTAACTTAACAGTTGATTGTAGCTGTTTAAGTTACTATTTCTTTCCTTTTTCTTTGAAGACGTGTTGCTGTTAAGTTTAATTTATACCCTTTCTTTAGTAAATGTTATGTAAATATAAGTGGAAAGGCTCAGGTTTTTAAATGCATTTAGTCATTGACAGTCAATGGGATTTAGACTCCTAAGTGCCTAAATCACATTTGAACATGAGACATAGGTTCCTGAATTAGTTAGCTGTTGCAATGCTGAACACCGCAATGCCTAAATACCTTTAAAAGTCCAGGCCAAAATTTCAATCAAGTTTGTGTGGAATTTTGCACATACTTATTTCAGGTTTTCCAGGTTCCTGTGTGTGCTCTCAACTAGGAGGTGAGTATGCTCTATTTTGTATGTTCCCAAGCAACACATCCGTTTTAGAGGACATGTACACTTAAACAGGGTGCGTGCAAAAAAGAACTTTTTCTGTTTGAGAATTTGTGCCTGATTTTTTTATAGGTGTTTATGGGACCAATAAAAACTTGTTGTTGTTCACTGCAGATGGCTTCCTCCATGCAGCTCTTTACAACTGTTTTTCTTCAGTTGTGTCATCTTCCATTTTAGGATCAATAGTGAGCTGAAATAATAACATCAGTGTATACATACATGTGAAATAATTTGTGTCACCAAAAACATACTGCTTTCCAAAAACACAGTGAATTATACAGAATTAAAGCTAAGCTAATAATTAAAAACCACCATGGGCTAGATTCTTTCCAGGTACACCGCTATGCCTGAACAGAGTCAGGCAGATCTAGCTTCAGACTTGTCCAAGTTATAAGTCTTTGGGAAATTGTAGTTTGCGCACAGAGACTTCTTCGTATTAGAAGCTGAAGTCTCTGAAGAGTTTGTCCTTACTGAGTATGCTCCAACCCCTCCCAGGTCTTAGTGCTGATCAGATAGCACATGCATTTTCCTCACAGGGTGCCTGAACATGCTCTGGGGAATGGGGAGGAAAACTATCCTAACACATTTGCAACAGGGAGTCAGATTAAAGCATCACAGGCAACTTTAATTCTGGCATTTCCTAACTTTTGAGTACTTGACTTTGCAACCTTAATAAAAGCTAATTGTTTCTGAAAGAAACTCTAATTGAAAAATTGGAAAATATTCAGATAGGGTAACACAGAAAAACTTCTAGGGCCCGAGTCCATCACCATTACTTATGCTGAGGAGTGTGTTACTCTGCAAGTACTCCCAAGAGTGTGCTAGGCTTCTCACAGTCCAGGTGAGAGGACACAGTCCTTGCCCCAAGGAGCTTACAAATTTGATGCAGTGAAGGGAATAACAGAAGGAGAGGGGCAACATCAATGAGATTATGCAGTTGCTCCATAAAGGTTAGTTCATGGCATAATGGAGGAGACAGTGCTTGCATTTGTTTTAAATACATTACTTGGTTTGTTTTTTGGTGGAAGAAGTGGTCTTCAGAAGAATCTGAGAACAGTTGAGCAGCCTTGCAGAAGAACTCAGTAGCGCTGTTCCCACACATAGGCAGCAGCATCTGTCTGATGGTGACAAAAATGAGCTGTTTATATTATGGAAACCAAGATCTTTTCTTCTCTGTTTTCAGAATATTGGTGAGTCAGAGATACCCAGTGTTTTGAACCAGTTATTGCCTATGATCAAGTCTCATAATGAGAGGACAGCTAATGACTATACCTCTGAAGACTTCCTTGTCTTGCTGGTGTATATTTACTCTGTGGTTGGGGAAATCAAAGCTGGAAAAGAGCTGGATAAAGCTGAAGGAGAGGTGAAAAAGGCACTAGTCCAGACTTTTTGTGATGAACCAGAACTATCTTCCTTACTGCAAAAAATAACAGGTGAGTTTATATTTCAGTGCAATGAAAAAAACAGTAGGTATGAAATGTGTACCTAAAGAAAGCATAGAAATAGCGTGACTTGTCTGTGGTGGTTAGGGTATGAGAATAAGCATGAGGATTTCCTGTAGATTATTCCATCACTGATGTGCACAAAAGCCAAATGCTGACAGGTTATCCTGAATAGTGCTGAGTCTGGTGAAAGTTCTGTAATTTGTTCTTTTTGTTAAAGAGTAGTTAAGTTTGTATGTTTTCATAAAGTAATCTTTTCCCCAATTTTCTTACATTGATCAGTGTAAAGTTGACCTTGGAAAGTCAAAATTAATCCTGGAAACATGTTCAGTGAACCACAGGGTTGTGAATGCTAGGAACTGCCCAGTCTGTCATAAAAAAAGAATTGTGTCTAAAACTAACATTGAATTTTTTACTGAAATAATAAGCATAGTGAGACCTTTTTGGCAAACACGATAACTTATTAGTGCCTTCTGTAGAATAGCCAAGTAATAACTTGCAGTTGTCCTTGCCACAGACTTAAAAATTGTTAAAAAAGATTGTAAACACTAGAACTGTAGCAGAAGAGGAGTATTTCAGAATGGAAGGGGGGCCGTGTTGCCCATCTACCACGGGTTCATTTGCCTGTTCGAAGGTATAATTATTATTTGTACTGCATTAGTGCTTAGGAGCCTCAATCCTAGACCATTGTGCTAGGTGACACACAGAACAAAAGGCCAGTGCATGCCCCAAAGTACAAACAGTCCAAGTTTCTGGCATAATTTTACCACTATAGTTATATCAGTGTAACTCTCCATGTTTATGTTACTCTGGGAACAGTATAAATTAATCATAAAATGACACTCTTATTCTGGAATAAGCGTGTCCACACGGGGATATATATTGCTATAACTATAGCAGTATAATTATACCAGTACATTTCCACATGTATAGAAGATCTTAAGATTATTTTTGTGAGTGCTGGAATGGGAGGTGCGTGTTCCACCTTAATGTAGTTACACAAGTATCATGCACTTACACGCTGCTCCAAAGCCCAGTGAAGATGGTTAGAGACTTTCCATTGATTTCAGTGGGACTTGGATTAGCGATATTACTGTTAGTGGCATACTGCTTGTAGTTTGCCCATTTTTCCTTTTAGTTTCTAGGGTGTGTGTGTGTGTGTGTGTGTGTGTTCTATATTTCTTGCATTCCAATTCTATGACAGTTTTTTCAGTGCATGCGGCTTGTCTTGTGCTAATATAATGTTTCCAAATGACCTCAGTGGTATTCACTGTCGGATATTGTGCAGACCGAACCCTGCTGTGCAGAACTCCATCTTCATGTTTAAGTTTTTCTTCTGTTGATCCATGTTTCCAATCACTGTTTTATAATTTTCTTTAATTGTGATTAACAAAGAAAGAAAACGGGGAGATGCTGAATTATTTAACATTTAATTTCATGAAGAATCAGCAGGGAAACTGCTTTCTGATTTGCACAGAAACTTTGTTTATTGCCCTCTACAGTCTCTCAGTCCATCAAAGTTGCTAGTACAAATAGAGACTAGATTACATAGCTCATTGGACTGGAGTAAGCTCTTCACAGTATTCACCAAGTAATGTTAAATTCTAACTATATTTCCATATTTTATACATCGATTTCATACATACTTTTTTCCAGTGCTGTGTGTGTTTGTAGGTTTGCTAAGTAGAAGCAAATGTCAGGATGTTCAAGGGAACAAGCAAATAAAAAATTATAAATGAAAGTCCAAGTACAAATAGGTTGTATTTTGAAAAAGCAATTCTTTGTTTTCACATTGCAGACATAATCTTTGAACAGTGGAGTTTGAGATGTGCTCCTAATCATCTAAATATTTTTGTACTAGTATGGAGCTGGATCTCATAATTTAGGCACATTTGAAAACTGAGCTCTCGGTCTGCATAATATACCTTGACTCATTTGGAGGGTTTTAGCTGTTTACCAAAAGTTTTGAAAAGTTCATGCTGATGTGTTATAAAGACTTTTGTTTCAGATAAAGGGTTTCATTCACAGTCAAGTTAATTGTGGATCACGAAGGCCAGTTGCCCATGCAACCTGTTGATATGTATGAAACATTACAAACACATCATTAGGAGACAAATTGTGAGTGTAAAAGGCTATTTTTTAAAGAGGTGGCTGAACTGTTTCTTAGAACACGTATTAGTTATATTATGCTCCTGCAGTTCCTTAGTTACCTGAAGAAATGTGGATGAAATGCTGGTCATTCTGTGTGTGTCTGTGTGTGTCTGTCTGTGATTTACTATATAATGTATAGTCTGCTTGCTAGCATGTTTTTTGACCTGTTGCAAATATGTGGTTTGCACTTTATTTAGAAGTGTCAGTTCTGCTGGCCCAATCACAAAGTAAAACAAACAAAAACAACAAGCTGTTGGTGACATTTTATTGGACTAACTAAAAAGAACAAAAATTGGCCTACAGACAAAGAAGGATCTTGTGAAAGAGAATATTGGGTCTAGATTCTTAGCTGTGTAAATTGGCATCTGTCCTTGAAGTCAGTGTAGCTGAGCTGGTTTATACCAACTGAGGATCTGGAATATTCCAATTATAATATCTCATGATTTTTTTTTAAATTAAAAAGTATGTTTTGCTTTTGAATGGCTGCAAAACTTAATTAAACTCCGACCAGCTTTAATAAATTTGTTTTCATTAGTAGAACAAAGGGAAACACGCTTTTTATCTCTTATTTGAGAATTCTATAAAAAATAAATTGTTGGAAGAACATTAAAATTGCATAGTTAAATATTCAAGTCAGGAAAAGCCGAAATTAAGGTTGCATGTGCCTTATGCATACACACACATGGCCCCAGCACATTGCGACATTTATCCCTCTTGGGGGTACCAGAAGGGGCCAAAGTTCCTATGACTCTCAAAGTGGGGAGATACAACCAGACTACATTTCCCCCAGCCGCCCCTTGGTCCTGTCTCCACAGTCCATCCACCTTCTGAGATAAGTCTTCTGCTGCTGCCAGCTACCAAATTTAGTTCTGAAACTCAAGTAGTAGCAGTGCTGAAGGTTCAGGGTTCAGAGCCTGCTGATGAAACATGATCAGAGGCTTTTTACAATCAACCCTCGGAAATTTCATACCAAAAGCCTGTGTTAAAATAATGTTATTGAGTTTGTTAAATCAAGCCCTTGAAAGTTAGGGAATGCCAGTATTTAGGTTGCCTGTGCAAGCTTAATTCTGCTCCCTTGAGTGGGGGGGGGAAGGAGAGGGACACCTTGGGTGAGCAGCTGGGGGTGTCCCATTTTCTCTTTGGGAAATATGGTCACCCTGTAGCTCCCAGCTGCCCCCCTGCAGCTTTCAACTGCTGCGGGAAGAGGGGGAACCCTACAGTTCCCAACCACCACGGTGGCAGGGGAAACCATGGACCTGCAGCAGCAAAAGTCATAGACAGGTCACAGCTTCCGTGAATTTTTGTTTATTGCCTGTGACCTGGCTGTGACTTTTTTACTAAAAATAACCTTGACAAAATCTTAGCCTTACTTATAAGTAAAACAGGGCCCAAACTATGAATTAGAAGAGAGGCAGCATGTTCCAGTGAATAGAATATCGCACTAGTGGTCAAGACTTATGTGTGCTCTTCCTGACTGCTACAGACCTTGGGCGAGTCACTTACTTTCTTTGTGTCTCAGCTTCCAGTGTGTAAAATGAATGGATACCAATCTTTTGTGAATCACTTTGGGAGCTACAGATGAAAACCACTATATGAAGGCTAAGATTTGTTATATATTGCATAAATCAGCCTCTGTACCAGATTACTGGAGGATAGCTAATGTGATGCCAATGTTTTAAAAAAGGCTCCAAAGGTGATGCTGGCAATTACAGATCAGTTAGCCTGACTTCAGTACCAGGAAAATTGTTTGAAACTAGTAAAGAACAGAATTATCAAACACATAAATTAGCATGATATGTTGGGGAAGAGTCAACACAGCTTTTGTTAAGGGAAATTATGCCTCACCAATCTATTAGAATTCTTTGAGGCAATCAGCAAGGGTGATTCAGTTGATATTGTGTACTTGGACTTTCAGAAGGCTTTTGACAGGGTCCCACACCAAAGGCTCTTAAGCAAAGTGAGGAGTCATGAGATAAGATGGAAGGTCCTCTCTTGGGCCAGTAACTGGTTAAAAGATCAGAAACAAATGGTAGGACTAAAGATAAATAGTGGGGCCTCCAATGATCTGTCCTGGCACCAGTGCTATTCAACATATTCATAAATGATCTAGAAAAGGGGGTGAACAATAAGGTGGCAAAACTTGCAGATGATACAAAATTACTCAAAATAATTAAGTCTAAAGGTGACTGCGAAGAGTTACTAAAGGACTTCACTAAACTGGGTGACTGGGCAACAAAATGGCAGATGATATTCAGTGTTGATAAGTGCAAAGTAATGCACATTGGAAAACATAATCCCAACTATTTATACAAAATGATGGGGTCTAAATTAGCTGTCACCACTCAAGAAAGAGATCTTGGATTCATTGTGGATAGTTTTCTGCAAGCATCTGTTCAATATACAGCTGCAGTCAAAAAAATCTAATGGAATGTTAGGAACCATTAGGAAAGGATAGATAATAAGACAGAACATATGATAATGCCCTATATAAATCCTTGGTACACCCACACCATGAATATTGCATGCAGTTCTGGTCTCCCCATCTCAGAAAAGAGATATTCGAATTGGAAAAGGTACAGAGAAGAGCAACAAAAACGATTAAGGGTATGGAACAACTTCAACATGAGAAGAGATTAAAAAGACTGGAACTGTGCATCTTACAAAAGAGATGACTAAGGGGTATATGGCAGAGGTCTGTAAAAACATGACTGGTGTGGAGAAAGTGAATGAGGAAGTGTTATTTACCCCTTCATATAACACAAGAACAAGGAGTCACCCAATGAAATTAATAGGCAGCAGATTTAAAAAAAACAAAAGGAAGTACCGGTACTTCTTGACAC